CCCGGGGATGCTGTGTCCTTTTAAATACCTGTAGGGATTTGAAAGCTTGGTAGATGTGGTGCTGAGGGATGTGGTTTAGTGGGGACTTGGCGGTGCTGGGGTAATGGGTGGACTGGGTGATCTTAAAGGTCTTTTCCAACCCAAACAATTCCATGTTTCTGTCCCCTGCCCCACCCTCAGGGGGTGAAGTGGCAGAGGCAGTGACCTCTCTGCTCCTCTTTCTCTTCTAGTACATTGAAGCCATCAGTAACAAGCAAGGAGAGCTGGAAAACTACGTCTCTGACGGGTACAAGACGGCTCTGACGGAAGAGAGGAGACGGTTCTGCTTCCTGGTGGAGAAGCAGTGCGCGGTGGCCAAGAGCGCCATCGCCTACCATGCCAAGGTGGGTCAGCACACCTGGGCTGCAGGACCTGGCAGGGGCTCCTCAGGTTCTTTCTGCACCAGCTCATGATTTGAAGAAGCAGAAGAAATGTGGCCCCTGTGGTGGTCTGGGGTGGGATCCATCAGGACAAGGGCTGGGAACACGGGCGCTGCTCCCTCTGCCTCCCGCTCCTGTTCTGGTTGTTCCCCACCACCACCCCCTGTTGCTCACAGCACCCATCTGTCACTGCCATGCTTGGCACCAGGGAGCAGGAGAAGGAGCTGGGATTAGTCAGCACTGTGGGCTGGAGCCGTGCTCAGCATATGTGAACTCCTCAGGAGGGGAAAATTAATCCCACCCAAGGGCTGGAGGGTCAGCAGGGATGGAGGTGCTGGCACCTGCAGTGTGGCTATGGCACGTTGAAACCAAAACCTTGTTGCAGCAGCGTTTGGGGGGTGGTTTTGCAGGAGGGACTGTGCAGGTGGCTGGGCCAGAGCAGCACAATGTGTGGGAGCATGAGGTGGGTGTCCAGCCCCACGCCAACCTGGCAACCAGTGTGGGCTTTGCTGGCTGAAAACACTGTTCAGCAGCTCCTGGGGGATGTTGGCAGGAGCTGAAGCTGGGGGGGAGCTGGTGGCCCATGGTAGAGAAATATTTTGGGGATTCAAAATTTGTTTCAGAGGGTTTTTTTGATATATGGGGTCCAAGTTGTCCCCAGGTGAGACTGGTGACAGAGCCATGCAGAGCCAGGCTCATTGGAGCCACAGCTCTTCCAGCACCATTCCAAGGGAGGTGTTTGGACAGGCCCTTTCCTTCCCTCCTTCCTATTTTTCATCACACCTTCCTGGCTCAGCTGCTCCCAGAAGCTGGAAGCAGTAAGTCCCTGTGTCCCCTCCTCTGTGCCATGCACTGAGTTGTTGATCAATCTTATGGCCAGTCCAGGTGCAGAACTGGGTGGGTTTTCCTGCTCCCCTGTGCCCTCACTCCTTGCTTTTCCCTTTTCCAGGGGAAGGAGATGCTGACGCAGAAGCTGCCGCTGTGGCAACAATCCTGCTCGGATCCCAACAAGATCCCAGACCGGGCTATACAGCTGATGCAGCAGATGGCTGCCAGCAGCAATGGCACCATCATGCCCAGCCCTCTGTCTACATCCAAATCCAACCTCATCATCTCTGACCCCATCCCTGGTGCCAAACCTCTCCCTGTCCCCCCGGAGCTGGCACCTTTTGTAGGAGTAAGTATCTCCATGGTGGAAGCTGTCCTGCCCTTCTCAACAAAGCTGGAGGGACGAGCCTGGGCCGGTGTCACCGTTGTCCTCAGCAAGTTGTCTTTTGGTGGAACTTCATTAATGCTCAGGGATGGGCAGCTCTGTGTGTGCACTGCCCTGGGATGTGGGAAGAAGCCTGGCATGGGATTGGACAGCCCGTTCCATCCCACCTGGGTTGCTGAGCTCCTGAGGGGCTTTGGGGAATCCATGAGCTGGACTCATCTGATCAGACTGGTCCCAGTCAGGCTGGTTCCAGAGCCATGGGGTTGAACCAAGGTCTTGCAGTAACCACAGGTGAAGGTTCTTGGAGCAACCCATGGTTTGGAAGACCCTTCAAAAAAGGGTCTCCCCTGATGTGGTGGCACAAGCTGAGCAGTAGAGCTCAGGAGAGGTTTACTGGGTGTGAGGCACCTTGGAGCAGTAAAATATCATAGAGGTGACCTCTGCTTCCCAGAGCAGGTTTTCTCAGGTGGAGGACTGAACCCAACAGGCTGAAGCTCATGGTCTGTCATGAGCTGTGTCCCACTGTGGGAGCTGTGGTGGGATGCCCTAACGAAGGTGTTCCCCATCTTCCCCCTTCCTCTCCTCTCTCCGTAGCGCATGTCGGCGCAGGAGGCCCTGCCAGTGATGAACGGAGTCTCAGGCCCAGACAGTGACGGGTACAACCACTGGTCTGAGATGAAGCCAGCACAGCCCAAATCTTTATCTCCTCCCCAGCCTCAGAAGCAGCTGAGTGACTCTTACTCCAACACACTCCCAGTTCGCAAAAACGTGACACCGAAGAACAGCTACGCGTCAGGTGAGGCTCCCACCTCCCTGCCCTGGGGTGCCCAGCAGTGCTGCTCGTGCCTCTGGATCTGGGGGAAGTGGAGCTGGGCTTTGCTGTGGGTTTTCAGCTGGGTGGGGTTTGGCCAGGTGGGCTTTCAGCCCATGGAGAGGATTCCCAGGAGGAAAATCATGAGGCATCTAAGGGAGGCTGCTCCCTTTGCCGTGGCTGGTGGCGATGCCAAGAGCAGGAGCCTGATGCTGCTCCTTGAGTCACACTGAAGGTTTTACTGAGACATGGGGCAAAACAAGCAAGGCTAGGGACCTGTCCTGGTGGGACTGCCATGCCAGGCTGTGCACACGGGGCCGAGGGCTCGGGGCACTCACTGGTCTCTGTCTCCCACCAGCTGAAAACAAGACGCTGCCGCGCTCCAGCTCCATGGCCGCGGGGCTCGAGAGGAACGGCCGGACGAGGGTGCAGGCCATTTTCTCTCACGCTGCTGGAGATAACAGCACCCTCCTGAGCTTCAAGGAGGGGGACCTCATCACGCTGCTGGTGCCAGAGGCCAGGGATGGCTGGCACTACGGAGAGAGCGAGAAGACAAAACTGTGAGTGCTGGGGCCACCCCCATGACCCACTGCACCCCAGTGCAGCCTCTCCTGGATCCTCCACGGATCAACGTGGGTTTGGCTTCATCCCCTGTCCTTGCCTTTCAGGAGGGGCTGGTTTCCTTTCTCCTACACACGGGTCCTCGACAGCGATGGCAGCGAGCGGGTCCACACGGGGTAGGAGCATTGCATGGGTGCTGGGGGCTTGTCCCAGGGCAGAATGTGGGATTGGCTGTGAATGCTGCACTTCCCCATTCATGGTGCGTGTCATTAGGAGTAAGTCCCAGCACCAACAGGTGGCTGCTGGCTTGGAATCATTTTGGTTGGAAAAGACATTTAAGATCATCCAGTCCAACCATTCCCCCAGCCCTGCCAAGTCCCCACTAACCTGTGTCCCTCAGCACCACACCTGTGCAGCTTTGAAACCGCTCAGGAACAGTGACTCCACCCCTGCCCTGGGCAGCCTGTGCCAGGGCCTGACAACCCTTTTGGGGAAGAAATTATTGCCAATATCCAATCTAAGCCTCCCCTGGTGCAACTTGAGACTGTTTTCTTTTGTTGTATCACTTGTAACACGGGAGAAGGGATCAACTCCCTCTGGCTCCTACCTCCTCTCAGGCAGGTATAGACCGAGAAGGTCTCCCCTCAGCCTCCTTTTCTTCAGGCTGAACACCCTCAGCTCCCTTAGACACTCTTGACAGGACAAGTGCTCCATACCCTTCCCCAGCTCTGTAGCCCTTCTGTGGACACACTCCAGCTCCTCAGTATTCTTTTTGTGGGGGGCCCAAAACCGACTCCAGGATTTGCAGAGTGGCCTCATCATTGCTGAGCACAGGGGGACAATCCCTGCACTGGTCCTGCTGGCCCCTCTGTTGCTGACACAAGCCAGGATGCCCTTGGCCTCCTTGGGCCACCTGGGCACTGCCTG